TCCTCAGCAGCATCCGATGCCCAGGTTGCAGTCGTCAGCTTGGAGTCTCCCCGACTACAGTAGCACCCTGCTGTTATAGCAGCTATGCGGTTGTCAGTCGTGGCAACCACAGAAGGACTGCTACAGACTTACACTCAGTTGATTTCCTCAATCCCTGCGTACGGTTACCTCCGCTACCTCCAACTTGGCTCTCCTATGCCTGGGCTTCACCGAATTTGGGCCAACTCGTTTCGTCGTTGCCGCCAGGGACAACTGTTCAATCCAAGATTGACTTCGTCATTAGCTTCGCCTCATCAAGATAGTAAAGCTCAACCTTCGCTTCACCTGGTCCTGACAAGGATCGGTGAGTAGTTCATATCGTCCCTCTTGTACATATTTTCTGCCAACTCTACTCACAGACCCGGAGTCGCCTGCCTCGACCCCCCCCCGCTTCCGAACTGCACCTCCGCTTGTTTGTTTGTTTTCTTTTAAGGAGCGATCAGAATCAGTAGTCACACGATCCTGCCGCGCTCGCTTTCCCCCAGCTTCGCTCTCCAAACACGTGCGCAGAGGCGGAACTACTTCCCTCTACAAGATGGAAGAAACACGTCGCCCAACAAGTGACACTCCTTCCTGTGACTCACTTCTCCTCGCCACCTCCGTCGGTAGGATGGGCATAACTGAATGAATCTCCCTCTAAGATGCGGGAGGACACATCGGCACAACGCAGCAGGTACGTGCCCTCTATCCCACTCGCAACCCACTCCTCTCCTCTTACCCCGTTTCCTTCTTCCGCGACCTCCCTTCGAGAAGGCTAGCAATGCTCTAACGAATCAGTAAGTATCCTACCCGTACAACTAGCCTTACGCTACTCTTGTCAGCAGGGGAGGTAAAATCAGATGAATCTTTCGCTAAAGCACGGAAAGATTCACTATTGCTTCATAGCCGACGTACTTAGTGGAAAACGAAGAGGTTGCTTGCACCGATGGGGCATGCATCACACCGTCCACCCCGCAGTCTTCTAACTCGTGGCTGATTTCCTTGCCACCACCACGATTGAACAAACAACTATCGAATGAATCTTGCGCTGAACCTGGAGAGGTACATTGCCAAATTTCAAACTCGCCATTCCTGCGCGCAGCACGTCACTTACGAACTCCCCTTCTATACTACTAACGCTAAATCTAACATCGCCAAACAGCTCGCCGTACCTTGAGATCCTCGAAATATGCTCCTCCTAGGTCGCCTTAGTCAAGGATCATGCGCGGTAGCATATCCTTCTCCTGCCGTACTCACCGTCTCGATGTCTCCGTGCGGCCCCTCTCTCGCTTCTACGCTTATCTCCACCAGCTATGGTCTATGTGCTTTTCACCCCGTCGGCTCCTTTTACCATAGCTCGCCTCCACCTCGCCCCGCCATCCTTTCCATTGAATGCACTTGGGCAAGGTTGCGTCCGGGTTCACTCATCCCTCGCTCGTTCATATCCCTCATGCACCCGGCTCCATTCCGCGTCTGGGTTCATTCTCTCCGTTCTGCCCGCTGTCGTCCGTCGCTTCGTTGCCTGGCACTGAACTCCTCCGTTCACCAGGCTATCGCTCGTCGTTTGCTCTGCCTTGACTCGCTGCGCTAGTGCTCGTCACCCCGCCACCCATTCAACGCTGCATGGTCCGACAGGTCTTCAGCTGCTAGACAGAACAAGCGCCTGCCCGTCGGACCCTCTCCTTAATTTAAGCATGTCATCTTTGCGCAGGGCCATGCTAATCTTCTGTGTATCGTTCCAAGCTTAACGGATGTCCCGAAGGACTTCATTTGCGGCAGCGCCTGCGATACTGTACCTTGTCCCGAAGAGAACGGGACTGTTACCCCAAACAGACAAAAAGTAAAATAAAATAATAATAATAATAATAATAAAAGGTAAAAACAACAAAGGAAAATAAAAAAAACTGGGTTCTCTAAAAGTGGATTACCCCCCCCTTCCCCCTCCCGGTCTCGTGGGTCGGGCCCACCATCACATCTACCAGCAAAAGCTGAGGGGGATAGCCTTGGTGGCCCTCAACCCCTCGACTTTCTCCTCGCTGCTCTGCTACTCCCGCTCCGCAGCCTGCTGGCCTCAATCCCCATACCTTCGCTGCAATAACCCAATGCCATAACCTATAGGGCTAAGCCCAAGCCGGGGATCAGCAGGTGCTGAATCCCTTATTAGGTGGTGCTGTCCAGTGCTTAATGCTGAGGGCATGCCTGGGATCTCACCTCTTCCTACAAATTGGCGTGCGGCCGCTAAGCATTCATGCCGCCCCATGTACCATCCTACATACTTGACCTGCCGCTGGTCAGGCACGACAAATGAGGGTCAATCTACTAATCCTTAGTCCAATTAGTAACGCAAACCCAAGCCGGACATCTATGCCAAGAATACGATCAAAAGGGTACAATCACACGCGCGCCTTAAAACTGCGAGACCACTCACCCTGTCTACTGAGATAACTCTGGCCCATATGCAGGTAACCAATTGAACATTCACAAGGCCTAAACCAACGGTCTTCCTGTCACTTGCAAAAACCAGGGCGGATACCCTTGTAAGGGTATTCGCGCCGACAGCTTACCGGACTATATTAAGTGACGTCCCCGTCGCTTCGCAAGATCAAAGCTATAAATGCGTCCACACACCCAAATGCTGACGAGAAGGGACCAATCCGATTAGCCGACAGACTCAGGTTTCAGGCTTCCATCGATCCAGACCCACACAACTATATGCTGTCAGGGTTTCAACGTAGGTCTCCATTGTCCTAACACTAGGATACCGGTGTACTACGCATCAGTACTACAACATAAGTTTCAAAGACCCTCATAACCGTCCTCTCCCCTTTGTCCTAGACAGACGCCGGCCTCTCGTTCGGTATTCCTAGCCTTTGCCCTGTAAGCAGGGTCATAAGCAGGGACGCGGACCCTAACCGAGACCTTTTGAAGGCATTTTAGTCTCCCGCTAAAAAAAATCCTCACAATCAGACACATATTTATATATGTCTTTAAATCTCATCTCAGCCCCTTCTGCGCTCTAGTACAGAAGAGCTAGGTCTCCATCTTGGCCCACCATAGCCTGGTTAATCGAGCCAGATCTACGGCCCACCGCATTGTTATTTTAGCGGCAGTGCCCTCGCAGGTTGTGCCACGATAGGCTTTTCCTGACAAACATTCAATCACGACTCCCAAAAAAAACTCACATGACCCGACTTTTATCCCACGCGATTCCGCAGGAGTAAAACCCTCCTAGGCGGCCATACCCTTTAAGTCTTTACTCCCTTGGTCAGACTTGGGCTCGCGGCCAGGTTGTGTCAGCCTGCAGCCATCCCTAGGGGTTATGCCCTAGTGGTGCTAAAACTTTACCGCTTAGCTTGGTCTTCCTTATATGCCTTAAGATTAACACAGGTGGCTGGACGGTATGTCACAACAATACAGGTCATTTGCGGGACTTACGCATAGACCTGTCACACATAAAAGGTATTTACCAGCCCTTTGTGGGACAACACAGAGGAGACATGACAACCTCTCCACATCCACAAAACAGAATCACCGCCAGACTCACAAGGTCGTGACCTCCCAACTCGATCAGGGTAAGAGGTCATACATCTTATAGACATCTCTCAAAATCAAACCATTTTGCGACATTTCTGAAAATCTCATCAAATGACCATTAAATCTTGGTCTCTCTCGTCAATCTTTTATCTTTCCAAACCCAGTTTTTCATGTCATTAATCTATTAACCCCTTTTTATGCAAGGGGCCTCACTCAATAGGTCTCACATCCATCCCTTTCTTTCTAGGATTAACTCTCACATAACCTTTGCAAAACATCTTCCTTTCCTGAAGCTGAGTCTCTCAAATAAAACATAAGATTATCTTTTTACTCAAAAGGTGTCTCAACCATAAAACAACACAAACCGAGAGGCCAACTTATGGGCCCTCAGCACAACTCAAACAAATAAACATTTGACATAATAAGCATTCGAGTCTCGAAAATTCATAAATCTTTTAAGATCCTCACAGTCCTTTTACAAAACAAACTGCACTTCCCCTACTTATACTCGGTTCTATCATCCTCGCATTGAGCAGATCGCACGAGTATACCGAAGAGTAGACAGTTCACACTCATCCATAATAACAAAATATGAACATATGAAATGTTTGTCACACATGCCTTACACAAACCATCATATATCAGGAAAAGTCACACATGTGAGAGTGAGGGTGATCGTCATACACCGGAAAGTAGTCTCCGAATCTCTATTCAGTATATACTCGGGGGTAAAATGTCTCTCGAAAACCCAAAATAGGTACTAAATATTATGCCCCCCCTCATCCCCGGCAGACTCATGCCTCAAGTGTTTTAACTCTTAAAACACTTTTAGGAATACAAGTGAAGTCTGAATAAAAAAACGGAAGTGTAAACTAAATATCCCGAGTATCACACAACTGAGTCTCGTCTCTTAAGTCGTGACAAGGAAAAAGTTCCCAAAGCTCTACTGTACATTATTTCCTATTTGAGTGCAGGAAACCAGGACACATGTATCTGACTCATGTCATTCTATATCTCTAACTTACTCTTTTTACGTACAAAACCTCTGACTCCTACTGACGTACAGGCCAACCAGCCCCTACTCACTCATCTCCTCCTGATTTTGCCTATATAACTGAGCTCTACCCCCATCTGGAGCTCTCTCCACCACTCGACCCTGTCTACCGTACATCCTGTCATCCCTCTCGGCGACCCGTCCTGCAGCCCTATCCTTGAGGAACTTAGGGCACTCTAAGGCCCTATGCATGCCATCCAGTAAGTAAAAGCACATGGCCGCCGATTTCCTCTGAAACCTCCTTTTCCTTTTCTGGACTCCTGACGACGGGAGTGTCTCTCTTGTCTCCCTACCCACCTCGTGACTCTGAGGTAGGTGCCATAACCCCTCAGTCCTTTCCCCAAGTCCCTGAGCACTCGACTCCCCTCGCTGCTTACTTCCCTCGGGCCTGTACTCGGGGGTATCCAATCTCAGTGGCCTGTGGGTTCTTTCTGTTACAGCCACCTCCTCACTCTCGCGAGGCTCCGAAGTCTGGGGGGTAGCTGCCCTTGCAGGCTGGCTCATGGCCTCCTGCTGCTGTCGCTCAGTGACCTGTCCTCGGTCCCAGTGACCCAGGAGCCCAACTGTATCCTCAACTCCCTCATTTCTGGCACGTACTCCGGGGTCTCCAGCCTCTGAGGCCTCTCGGGTGGCATATCTACTTCCATGGCGGCTACCAACTCGTCTAGGCGAGATGACTCTTTCCCTTGTGCCTCAGGCTGAGGGGTTACCACTGTTCCAATAGGGGTCTCTTCCTGTGCTTCCAAAAGGATCGCTAGCGACTCTTCTGCCGCTTCTTCCTTTGTCGATGCAGGCTGGGGCTCCTGAGATGGCGTCTCCATAGGGGCGCTTGCTGAAATAGGGGCCTCTTGCTGCGAGGCTAACTCAGTGGGAGCCTTGAACTCAAAGCTTCCTTTGTTAGCCTCTCTCCTCGCGTCTACCTCTGTCGGGTCCAGAAACACCTTCCCTAATTTCTCTTGTTGTGATGTCCCTGCTGCCTCCCCCTGGCCAAACAGTCCCTGCATCCCTTCGCCCTGAATGTCATACCTGCTCTGTTCAGTCCAATCGACCACCTTGGTGGCCGAAGGTCTTTCCACCGCAGCTGACATCTCCTTGAGTTTTTTCTCCCACTCAGCTTCTTTCGCTTCCAGGCGAATTCTCCAAGCCTTATTCTCAGTCTTTTCTTCTGCGAGCTGGGCAGTCAGTTGTTCCACCTCTCCCTTCCTGATTGCCAGGCAATGCCAGCTCATCACTGAGCAGAGTATACCTCTGAAAGTACGTGGTGGCTTCTTGCTTTATCCTTCTGTCCACCCGTTCGATGGTCCTTCTGGCAGCAGAAAATCCCAACTCTCCAATCTCTATCGCCTCATCTGCCCTCTCATCTGCCTGCCCTGCCTCTTGGGACCTCTAACGAGCCGCCTCCCTTCGACCCTCATATCTTGCCCACAACTCGTCAATCCTCTGCTCGCTTGTCTTAGGGTCGGGAGATAAGGTTAACAACACGTATACTTTTCATCATACATATATTATATATACAACTTAGACCGAATTCTTTTTCATTGCTCATGTTTTCTTCACTCTTATTCTCAATTTTCATGACACATTTTAAAAGTTGCGGATTTTTCATCGCTCATGTTGTTGTCATCATAGTTTTTGGTTGCTTGCCCAAACAGATAGCCATCAGGGTTGTTTTCATGGTCTTCAGGCGTCATCACTTCTGAATGCTTCATGATTTTCGGATCGCTTGAACAGATGGCCATAAGGGTTGCTTTTATGGCCTTCAGAACGTTCACCACTTCAGGATGTTGAATGATTTTCGGGTCGCTTGAACAGATGGTCATAAAGGTTGCTTTCATTGTATTCGGGACGGATGCTTCATGATTTTCGGATAGCTTGAACAGATGGTCATAAGGGTTGCTTTCATTATCTTCAAGACGTTCATCACGTCGGGAGGCTTCATGATTTTCGAATAGCTTGAAAAGATGGTCATAAAGGTTGCTTTCATGATCTTCGGGACGTTTATCACTTCGGGATGCTTCATGATTTTCGGGTAGCTTGAACAAATTGTCGCAAGGGTTGCTTTCATGGTCTGCGGGGCGTTCATCACTTCGGGATA